TGAGGTTTTAATAAGAAGAAATAAAACAAGTATCCCTAGTAAGGCTTGGTAGGGAACATGCATCATTTTTGGGATTCTGGAACAAGACATGACGAATTTTTTTATTATTCCTTAAATAACTTAAGTCGATTTATATGAACCCTAGTTGGTTTACGTTTTATCATTATTGTACAGTTTACGTCTGAGTCAATAGAAATAACTTCATAAGGGCCTTGAAATAAGGGTAGTAACTTTTTGGATTTTCCTATAATATTAGCTTCATTTTTTAAAAGAACTTTATCTCCAACTTTTAGATTTAGTTTGTTAATCAACTTATCATAGTTAATTTTAGACCTTTCTTTATTTTTTTAAAATTGTTTCTCTTGCAATTTGATGGGAATGTTGTAACCTAGATTTAAGTTCATTATAATAATCATCGTAAGTATAAAACATTTCTGGTGATCTAGTAAGTGAGTTTGGTAAGTTCGCCTTTTTACCATATAAAAGCTCGAAAGGTGTGAAGTTTGTAGAAACATGAGGGGTAGTATTGTACGTAAATGTTGCAAAGGGCATAAATTCATCCCAGTTATTTTGATCCTGATTGATAAAATGTCTTAAATATTCGACAAGAGTTCTATGTGAACGTTCTAAACTTCCGTTGCTTTGGGGATGAAAACTACTACAATGAATTTGTTTTATTTTTAAAAGGTTGCAAGTTTCTTTAAATACGTTGCTTAGAAAATTAGTTCCTTGATCAGTAACAAGAACTTTAGGAATTCCGAATTGACAAATTATTTTTGTTGTGAAACTGTAAGCAACCATATTGGCAGTTTGATTTGGAATGGGAATAGCAATTGAAAACTTGGTAAGATCGTCCTGAAATGTGAGAAGGTACTTGTTAAAATTTTCGGTTTCGTTTAAAGGACCCACGATATCTAGAAATATTTTTTCAAACGGGGCAGAAGAGGTTGTAGTAATAGTCATTGGAAGCTTAGTCTTTCTTCCACACTTATTTTTTTGACAAGTTTCGCATGACTTGATAAATTTTTTTATATCCTTGTACATACTTTCCCATTTGAAGTTTTGCCTGATTCTTTTAAATGTTCTATTAACTCCTTGATGTCCACCAAGGGGCGTTACATGAAAATCTTTTAAAATTTTAATTATTTCAGATTCAGTTAAATTTTGTTCAGTAAAATTCGAACAAATTAGAACTTTGATATTAGTATCTTTAAAAATATATCGCAACATAATTCTTATAGGTTCAAGTTTCAACTTATCGTTCTCTAAATTATTACTAGAGAATGCTAAAGTTTCAATGGATTTAGAAATGCAAATTTTTTTTAAATTAAACAATGAATAAAATACATCGCTGTATTCAGATTTGTGAAACTCGGATTCCCTAGTTATTAGATAAAAGAAATACCGGTCATCCGATTTTAAATAGGCTATGTCTAATATATTTTTGTTTTGCACTTTAAGTTCCGCTTTAGAATTATGATACTCAATATTACTGTTAAAGTTTTTATCTGTAAAATAAAATAAATTAATTTTTTTGGACAAGTCGTTAAAATTTTCGTTTACATCTGTTACGTTAGAGTTAGTTATTATTTTGCTCTCAATATATTTTAAATACTCTTCATATGGTTTATTTATAGTTTCGTTTATGCAGCATATTCTGGACAAGCTGTCTGCATTTGTGTTTTGCTTGCCTGGCTTATAAACAACTTCGTATTCAAATTCTTCAAGTTTAAGGCGAAAACGCATTAACCGAGAAGATGGATTGGAATGGGAAAAGATGTATGTTAAAGGTCGATGGTCAGTCAAAATTTTAAACTTTTTCCCATATAGGTACGGTCTAAAATGTTGGGCTGACCAAACTATACTAAGTAGTTCGCGCTCGATAGTAGAATAGTTCTTTTCGGCTTTATTTAAGGTTCGGCTAGCATAAGCGATGGGTAAATCTGAACCTATTTCTCCTTGCGACAGAATGGAACCGATTGCGTATTGACTAGCATCGGTTGTTAGGATAAACTCACGTTCGAAGTCCGGATGCTGAAGAATTGGCGGAGTTATGAGTTTTTCCTTTAATTTAGTAAATGATTCATCGCAAGTTGAAGACCAATTAAACTCGATATTTTTCTTTAATAGATTATTAAGTGGATATGCGATATCAGCGAAATGTTCAATAAATTTTCTGTAGTATGATGCTAACCCTAAAAATGATTTGACTTGCTTTTCGTTACTTGGGACTGGAAAATTCTTGACGGCTGAAATTTTACCTGGATCTGGCATTATTCCCTTTTCAGAAATAACATGTCCTAGATAATTTATTTCCTTGCGTAGAAATTGACATTTACTTAGTTGTAATTTTAAATTGTTTTCCTTTAACCTTTGAAACACGTCTATTAACTTATTATTGTGGTCATTTAAAGAAGTACCGTATACGACTATATCATCCAGATATACAAAACATTTAATTCCTTGAAGACCCGTTAGAACGTTATTCATTAACCGCTGAAAACAAGCCGGAGCACCTTTCAACCCCATTGGTAACCTTTTGTATTGATAGTGTCCGTAAAAAGAAAACGCAGTAAGTGGCTTACTTTCTTCACTTAATTTGATTTGATGAAATCCGTTCGCTAAATCAATTACTGAAAAATATTTAGATTTACCTAATTGATCCAAAATTTCCGTAATGTTTGGAAGTGGAAATGCATCTGACTCCGTGACGTCGTTAAGTTTTCGAAAGTCTACGACAAGGCGCCACCGTTTATTTCCTTCTGAGTCAGCTTTTTTAGGAACGATAAGTATAGGAGAATTGTATGGGGATCGACTTGGTTCAATAATGTCGTCACATAGCATTTTTTTTATTTGATTTTGAATTTCTTGCTTTTGTTGCTGGGGTAATCTATAAGGTTTGACAAAAACTGGCTTCGAAGAAGTTATGGGAATAGAATGTTTAACAGCGTCAGTACATGTTAAAGTGTCTCCTTCTATATAGAATAACTCGTTAAATTCCCGACAAATTTTAATGATTGAGTCTTTTTCTTCTTGGTTCATATGATCAAGACAAATTTGAGATTCTATTGCTTGTAGCCTTTTACCATTAATGGTACTAAGAACGGTAACAATGTGATAATTATCCAATTCATCAAAATCAAGATCGAGAGAATTAATTGTTTCCGGATTTTCGGTTGAATTTAAAATGCTGATTTTACAATTTCCCTGTTTGGGTTCTACGATACAATTACTGACATAAATTCCTGGTTTAACTTCCTTATTAAGACATACTTTTGGATTTAGAAAATCTGTTTTGACATTGGCAATGATCTCTGATCTAGGAGGAATAAAGATTTTGTAAGGATTAGTAAGAGTAAAGGAGTAGTTTTTACCGCTTAATGGAATAGTAAGCTTTGACTCATCATAATCTAATAATACTTTATATTTTAGTAGAAAGTCTTTCCCTAAAATACCATCTGCAACTATTGAAAAATTATCTGGGACAATATGAAATTCGTGATTTAGGGCATGCGTTTCGCAAAGTTTTATGCTGGCCGGTAGAACACCTAAAGACATGATGTGAGAACCGGTGATACCTTTTAATTGAATTGTTTCATCTGTATAAATTAAAGCATCGTCATCCGTGCAACCTAATTTAAGAATGCTTACCTCAGCTCCCGTATCAACTAGCAAGGTCGCGGATTTAGATATCGTTGAACTTAAGGAAATATTTACGCAAGACGAGTTAGCTTTTTCGTCTGTTATTGTAAAAACATTTTCGGATTTTGTAGATTTAGTAGAGTCAGAGGATTTTGTAGATTTAGTAGAGTCAGAGGATTTTGTAGATTTAGTAGAGTCAGGGGATTTAGTAGATTTAGTAAAGTCAGAGGATTTAGTAGAATTTGGAGGATCGATAAAATTTAACGCATTAGGACTACCCTGAAAGGAGTTTATTGCTCGGCAGTTTTTATATCTTTGGAACGCGTCGCGGTTCTGCCGTTCATTGGACCCGTTCCGTAGTCGTTTCCCGACTGATTGTTTTGCGTATTAAATGACTGTGACGTACTTGCATTTTTCCTAGAATTGTTATACGCTCGTTTCCGACATTCTTCAATTGAATGTCCAGGGTGTTTACAATATCTGCAAACCAATGCGCCTGCTTTTATATCGGCCTCGGACTTTATTTTGAAATGATTTGGATATTGGGGTGCGTTTCGACCGTTTGAATAACACTGATCAGCAATATGACCCATTTTATTGCATTTAAAACATTTAAGAGGACGTTTTCCGTCTTTGGGTTTAAACTTATTAAAATTTGAATTTTTATTTGACCCGAGGTTCCTCTCCTCTTCGCACGCAGCTTCAATCGCGTCAACCAAGTTAATAAACCTACTTGCCTTTATTATGAGTTTAATAGGATCCCGAAGTCCTTCAACAAATGCTTTAAGAGCGGATTTCTTGTTTAGATTTTGGATAGTAATACGCGCAGCCTCACCCTCGCTTGCTATACACGCGTCATCTAGATCTTGCATTAAATTTTCTACTCTATTCGCGAAAGCTCTAATATCTTCGTTTAGATTTTGACGACAATTTAATAACTCTACTTGAATTTGCGCAATTGTCCGTCGCTCAAGGAACTGTTCTTTTAAAGCGGTTTTTAATTCTGGCCAATCGTTAAAATCTTTATACTTAACAATGTTATATGCTGAACCCGACAATTTTGATTTCGCAATATTTAAAAATAGTATTTGCTGATTTCTCGTGGTTGCCATAGCCCAAATTACGTCGCAACAACTTAAAAATTTGTGTAACTCAGGCCGGTCACCACTAAATGCAGGGATCATTTTGAGAGATAATTCGGCAGAAAATGCCATGATTTCGATCTCCAATTCGTCTTCGTTAAAATAATCTACAAAATTTTCGCCTAACCTATCGTTCATGAGCAGCAAAATCACAATCAGAACAATTGTAACTTACAGTTTATTTTTCTGTAGCCTGGGATTTTTTCTCTTTTGTGGATGAGTCGACTTGTTGAACTGGAATGGTAAGTAGCTTCAGCACAGAATTTTCGTGAACTTTGAACTATCACAGAACACATAAACAACACTGCCCTCCAAGAAGTTTCGGGTCTGCCCTGGTGAATTCAGGTATTTCGCAGCTGGCTTCGTTCTCGGGGATGGTGGTCCTGTTCTGCAACGGCGCGTTGTAGTGTCAGCAACTCCTTGACTTTTAACCCTGATAGTGACTCCTCTCAACTTTTTAGATTTATGGGAACTTTTCCAGCACCGAAATGTATCACTTTTTCGGCTATTCGCTTGCGGAAATCCCACCGCTGCCACCACTTTTTGTTGAGGGTTAGGAGTTTAGGGTGAGTCCAATGACACTCAGGATTTGTACTACTTTCGTTTATTTGTACTTAAACGATTATCACTACAACTTACACTATTTTCTGGCTTCAATCTACTTAATTATCTTAATCTTAGAGTTGTTACATACTAATTCATTGTTCGGAACCTAATTCCCGATTTCTGTCCGTGCCTTTGGTTTTGTTTAGGGTATGTCACATGACATACGCGAAGATGGTCTGACCATTTAGACCAATGAAAATTTAACAGCAACAATAGTTCTAACCAATAGAAAATTAATAATAAAACCCTAATATAGAAAAACAAAGACTCAGCAGAAACGAGTTTTAATGCTTGGAAAAGAGTAACGAACTTAAAATATAAAATATTTGCACTACACGTGTATTTCTAAAAAGATAACTTATCCTAAATTACAATGTAAATGACCCTTGGAAAGGGGTGTAAAGGGACTTTACAACAATATTAAAACATTTCAGTCTCTTTATTACGCATTTGTTGTATCTAAGCTGGAATACTGCTGTATTGTTTGGAGTCCGCAATACAATATTTATAGAGATAGGCTTACAGGATACAAAGAAAATTTTTGAAATTTGTTTCTTTTAGACTTGACGGTATCTATCCCGCTAGAGGAACAAACCACTTGCAGCTTCTTAATAGATTTTCTTTACATCCTTTGGAGCTAAAGAGAATAATAATGCATTTGAAGTTTTTGTATGGACTGTTGCATAACCAGATTGATTCTATAGCACTGCTTGAATCGGTGAATTTGCGTGTTCCATTTTTTCAAAGCCGTAGTCAATTAACTTTTACATATAAAATACCTAGAATAAATGCCATGTATAATTCACCCGTTCAGAGAATGTGCAGATACTTTAATATTTACTGTAGCTCATGTGATATTTTTTACCAGACTTTTAATAGTATAGTTGGTGCTGCCTCTAGCAATTATAATTTACTTTAATTTTAATATTATTATCCATAATATATTATACTTAACAAATTTCTTTTCTATATGTTTATATTTTGTCCTGTAATTGGAACATGTTCTGTTGGGCAATACACAAATAAATAAATAAATATCTTCTATAAAAAAATAATTGGTAAAATTGATAATTTATAAAAATGTTTAACTTTCACCCACAAAAAACCGATGTGAAGGAAAAAATAAAATTGTGATATTTTTAGAAAATAAATTCTATATCTTTGTTAATTATGTCCAGTTAGTGCTATTCTGTTATTTTCACTTTTTTAGGAAATATGTTTTTTGAAAAGTGCTACTTTTACAAAAATATGAAAATAATTTGTTGTTGGGTATCTTCAGGTGGTTAATAAAAATTAAACAAAAAAAAATTACTAGAATTTGAGTTTAAAAAGGTTACTTCAAAAATGCAAAGTTGCGTATATCAGCAGGTGATTAAACGAGAACACCTTACGCAGCATTGCACCAATTGCGGCAACCAGCAGTATGTTTTTTGGTTATTGTTATTTAATTTTTTATATTGTTTTATTTTAAATGTTTAGAACTACCTACTGTTTTGTTTCTATTGTAAATTTGTTTATAACTCAATAAGTTTTTAATAAAAATCAGTACCAAAACGAATTCCAATTGGTTTTTTTTTGGTAAACTCAACATTGTTCGTTAAGAACTGTGAAGTGAGTTAGATCAAGGACCATCCTAGTCCTCGCCCAGATTGGAAGATACTACATTCCCCACCAGGCGGTTGTCAAGGAATCGAGTACTACGACAAAACTAAGGGTAGTATTTGTTGCTTCCTGTAAAACAACTAATGGAATAAGCCTCAACGACTGCATGCTGACTGGCCTACGCTTACAACAGGATTTGCTAAACATACTGCTACGGTGGCGTTACAAGATTGCAGTTTCTGCTGCCTATGGAACCGCATCTGCCCCATACATAGCGGTCAGAACCATGCAGCAGTTAGCGAGGGATGAAAAACCGAAATTTCCAGTTGCTTCCGAAGATTTTTACGTTGATGACCTGCTCTCGGGAACGGATTCGGAAGAGTATGCCATCGAACTACAGAACCAATTAATCGAAATGTTTAAATCCGGAGGTTTAACGTTAAGGAAAGGTCAAGCAACAACTTTGGAATCCTTCAACACTTGCCCTTGAAGGACGAAACGGCTCTTGAAGTCAAGATGGATGATGTAAAAAAATCCCTTCGAGTATCATGGGCTCCCCATGGCGATACAATCAGCAGGGCTAGGAGGGGCATGTTATGTTCTGGTTTTTAATTTTAGAAAGTTGGTCACCTTACCTCTACCGTTAACTTTAGAAGCCAAAAACCAGATTAAAGCTCAACAAAGAATTCACATTTAAACATAGTTGCCATGACTTGATATAATTCGGACATCCCTAATGGTAAACCCTTTATATCAAGAATATTTTGTAATCTATTTTATTTGATTTCATTTATTTTTTCGGGTATATTATACACCAGTCGCCAGGTTAATTACCTAAAAAGTATTTTAGGCTTTGCAATAATTATAAATTTTAATTATTATGCTTTTATTTTAGTTGCAACATAGAATATTGGAGGCCCATGCCAATGTAAAGGATCTATCTCTAATAGAAGCCAAAATAAATTACATAAAGGCTTGGCAACTGCTTCCGGACTTTGGAATTAGTTTCTTTGTTGTAAAATTCATGGACAGCAAAAAAGAAGAACTTCTGGGTGTTGGTTATAATCGAATCATGAAAATGGACATCAATACTGGAGATCATCAGAAAACATGGAGATTTAATACAATGAAAGCATGGAATGTTAACTGGGAGATCAAGCACATGATGGTTCAGTTTGAAGAGGGAAACATTATATTTAGTTGTCTTTCGGCTGATTGTAAAGTTGTCCACGAATTTATTGGTGGCTATATTTTTTTGTCAACCAGGTCAAAAGATGCAAGTCAGACACTAAACGAAGAACTTTTCCATAAACTAACAGGAGGCTGGTCTTAAATTTAGGACTTAAATTACATATTTTAATATTATATGGATGAAATATGACTTACATAATATGTAATATTATTATGTAAGTCATCTTTTATGCATAGCATAATGTCTTATGTCCAGGCCTTGTAAAATAAATCTTAAAAGATGTATTTAATTATTTTAAAAATAAAATTAATAAATCATTCTATTGTCTACCTAAATATTTTTACTTTTTAATTGAATATAGGTAGATAGGTATTTTTTTGTCTAAAATATTTCCTGAATTTATAAACTAATGAAATATTTTACTAAAAATAATGTGTGTATTTATCATCCTTGTTATTTGCCTTTACCCTCCTAGATTTCTAGGATGACATAAATAAGTCGTCTTTTAGCCGTTTCATGGGTAAAATGATCTATTAATTGTAATTATTTTTGTGAAAAACTGCCTTTAATTATGTAATTTATCATTTATATTGTAGTCATTGTTTATTAAATGTATAGTTAATTAATTTCTACAGGCATGTTTTGCCATTTACACTTCAATAATTGCGGTTTTTGTAAATAAATTTTTAAATCAGTATTTTGTGAAAAACATATATTACCTATATATTTATTATATAACTTGTAACATAATTAATACTTGAGGGAAATAAAATCAAAGCAGTATGCTTGTTTAATGCTTGTTTAATTTTTTTATTGCAAATAGGTATATACTCTTTTATTTTGTACCCCTCACTTACGCTTTTTGTCAATCCATAATGTTGCTTTTTATGTTGAATACTTATTAATGTTACTAAAGTTTTTGGACAATATATTTTTACCATGTTTTACAACTTTAACTAAGCCCTATTATAGATTAGTAATTAAAGAGCTTAGTGGATGAACTATTAAGTGTACAAGCACAATAGAATACTTTATTTCTTATTATTAAAGTTACCACCTTTTTGCTTAACATGATAGTGTCACTTAACATGTTCATTCACTAAAGCTCTTCAATTATTTTATATAGATTACATTTATTTTATAAAATTAATAGTATTAACAGTTATCAAGTATTTTTATTTATCTTTCATCAAGCAATTTGCTCAGATCTAGGGTTACTTCCGGACTTTCGGCCTTCCATCCAGATTTTTTACTTGAATTATTGTTTAATTAAACTACTTAACTTAGTTCAAACTAGAGACCCCTTAATTTTATTATAGGGACTCTAGTTTAAAGCAACTTTTCCCAATTTTCGATTTTTGATAAACACATAAAATTGTACGAAAAAATTTTAGACTTGGAAATTTTGAGTGTAAAGTAGGTCTGTACAAAAAAGGGTGGAAATTTTCGACTTTCCACTGAGCTATCGTAATTTGAGAAAAAGTAATTCAATTTATACATTTGAAGGTAAATCTATCGGTGCTCCTTTACTCACTTTCGGCATTTATTTAACCTACCATAGCTGGGAAAGTTACTTCTGAAAAGTACCTATCTAGTTACTTTTCTAAGATACTTTAATCAAAATACTTTAAGTTGAAAGTATCTTTAGTCACAAGATACTTTAGAAGGTATCTAAGATACTATATAAAAGTATCTAAGATACTTCTAAGTAACTAAGATTCTTTTGAGTAAGTAACTAAGTTACTTTTAAGTATGAATAAAAACTATACAATTATGAAAATTCAAAAAGTTTTAGGTTAGTTAATTACTTTGAATCATTCTAGAATTCCCCCAATTTTCTCTAAGAAAGTAGGTACTTTAAAAAGTATCTAAGTTACTTGCATGTATCTTATAATTAGTTATATAAGTTATCTGGGTTAGTTATAAATATATATCCCGGACAACAATCGGGATTTCCTGGTGAAGTCATGATGATATCACAACGTGATTTTTTTTATCACGCTGTGATATCCTAAGTGCATACACATCAGTGGCGGCTCGTCAGGGTAGGCCTCTGAGGCCGCGCCTCACCCTTAAAATAAAGGAACGAACGACTTTTTGTATTTATATTTTTGCCTATTACAAGTGTATTTTTACAACAGTTCTACCCAATAAAAAGTAAAAAACCAATCAATCATATTAAGCGTAAATAAAACTCCAGGCGCAAAGCGCGTCAAGTTAACGTGCATCGTTGAGTCGCTTGGACAGAGGCGAAATTTTCACAGCCTCGGAAGCTCCCATTTACCTCTTGAAAGCGAAAATGACTCACCAACAAAAATATCGCCGTAAGTTCGCGAATAAACACCGTAGATGAGGCGAAATTTAGTTGGCTTGGTTTGTTCTGATTGGTGGTCCGTTTATGGTGGGATGCCAGCGGAGACAAAGGAGGTTGCCAGTCTTCTCTTAGCGTTTGTAGAGCACGTTATTGTTTTGATTCAGATTAAATTATTTAAAACTTTTGGCTGATCTTTTATAGTTTTTGTCTCGATTAGTAAAATTTCTTATTTAATTATTGTAGGGAACACACTAAGGTAGATTGAGCAGTTTTTATTAAGCAAATTTTATATTTTGAAATAATAGATTGCATAATTCTTCAATTAGAGAAGCGGTTTGAAAATTTAGAATTACTTTTAAATCTCACTGCAGACCCACAATTTTACGACCAAATAATAGATAAATTTTCAATCTTAAAAGATAGACGTATAGTATTTTATATTTTTTAATACTTAGGTAGGGGTCGACTTTTTAGTTTTATTTTTTGATTAATTTATTTATTTTTAACTTTTTTAAGACTATATTTTAAGATTAAAACTAGTCTTTGATGTGATATTTTGTTTTTTAGAGTTTATTTTTTGGTTTAGTAGTGCTATCGGCTCCATTTTAAAAAAGGTCAACGCGTCGCAGAATAATACCTCCCGGGTGACGTGGAAATTTATTCGTATTTAGACAAAATTAACCTTATGTAGCCTCACCCTCCTGTACACCCACGAGCCGCCACTGATACACATGCTTCATCACAGTGATATCATGTAGAACTCACGGTGTGATATTTGCAAAATTTGCGCATGCGTATGAGCTCTGCGAACTGCGAATTTATAACATAGTTTGTTATTCACATTACACCGTTATAATTTATAAAACGTTTGCATATCACGAAATTCATACGAACATCATGTCGTGATTTTCACAAATTTTATTCATACTGTGACCAGAATTTGACCAGATTCTTGGCCAAGAATTTTTACACGATTATACGTTAAATAGGAACTTTCAATTTAAGATTTTTGGTCAATACAAAATTTTGTTGAACTTCAAAAGTTAAGAATGTTACTAAAAACATTAATTTTCCACGATTTCTTTCCAGTAAATTCGGTTTTTATCCATAAATCTGGTAAACAATAGAATTAAAAACGAAATAAATTTTGAAAGAGTTAAAGTTTTTAATTTTCTATGTTAAAAAAAACCAGGTGCCCGTAAAAATAAACATGTATTTTATAATCTTTCATGTTCATAAAGAGTAAACTCTAGTTATGCGTCAGAGCTGACACACACTTTTTTTTTTAATTTTTGATTTTTAGAAATAACAATTTTTATTTTTCAAAAAATCAATTTTTTTCTCAGCTAGAAGACGAATCCAATAAGCTCTTATTCGTATTTTCACATAAACAAAAAACTATACTCATTTCCTACAGAGAACTCACTTCTCGACTAGTATACATTATTGTGAATGATACTACTGTAGAATGAGAACCTCTAATCTATAGCTATAGGATAGTCCCAAAGTTTAGCAATAGATGGCCTCAGATTTCTGGTCAAATTCTTGTCAAATTCTGGCCACAGTCTTGCTCAAGTCTTGCCCAATAATCTTGGCCAAGAATATGGAACAATTCTTGAGCAAAAATCTGTCCAAAGTATCTTGACCCATGCTGGGCCAAGACTTTTCCGGAATTGCTACTAGGGAAAGTGAAAGTTACGACTTGACGTTCAACCGATGTAAATATACGTCGAACAATGACTTCGGATACAAAGTTATTATCCGACCGCAATTTTCACTTAAAGCGACGTCGAACATAGTGCAATTTTAGTCGGAAGTCAGAAAAATGTTTATTGGGTACCTACGTCCATCCCTGCTTAAAATACCCCATAGAGACCCTGTTCAAACCGATAGATATTTGTATCGGGATGTATGGTGTTTCTATAGGGTGTATCGGTTTGTATAGGACCCGTAGTTGAGATTTATGGTTGTTCTATAGGGATATCCACCATTGATTTATTTGCTATCGGTTTCAATGGGGAAAATACACATAAATGTAAAAATTAGTTTTTTTCCTATAGGACCCTATAGGTTTTAATAAAATTTTGTCAAATGTTTTATGGTTACTCTATAGGGATATCCCTATATATCCTTCATTGAGTTATTTTCTATCGGTCCCAATAGGGAAAATGTAAAAGTTATGGTGTGCCTATAGGTAATTTCCTATACATTTTCTATCGGGCTGTATCCGGAAAAACCCATGGACAAATGCACATATAGAATCCGGTAGCGCCCGATAGATTATTTTGTATAGGTCTCTATGGGGTATTTTAAGCAGGGATGGACCTTGAATGTACGTCCATGGAGTTTACACTTTCCCATGTCCTTAGGATGTTCCAGAAGAACGTCCACAGGATATCCATGGATGAACACAAGACAAGAAACAATAAGATGGATGTTCAAAGTCTAATTTAGGACTCCTGCGGTCGATAACGGCTACCATACTAAAAACATTTTACAAAAATATCAAACAAAACAATTTTTACAATTAACTACACATAAAAAATAACAAATGTTTTATTTGTTGTTAATTGTTAAAATTGTTTTGTTTGCAAACCATGACAGTTTGGTTAAATTAATGTACTAAAGTCAAGTCAAATCCAAGACGGACTAAAACAAAAAACGCCAGACGCGTGATCAGTCGTTTGCAGGTGGATAGAACGGTTCTTATTGGGCGATTCTGAGTTGTGAAGCGTGCCGAAAATTCTTGACAGGGCCGCATTATGTCCATTGCGGTTATTAATAATATTAATTAATAGCGTATTGTTTGATTACTTCCTTGTTTTCGCGGCTTTCATCTTTGTGGTTATTTTTGTTATTGTTTTATTATTAATACTTGTTATATAACGTTATTTGTTGTTATTGTTGTTGTTATTGCCATCATTGTTTTGGTTATTTGGTTTTTATTGTTATTATTATTATTCAATTAAGTGCGATGTCTAGCACAGACGAAG